AAAAGATCAAATGATATGGTTAGAATTGTAGAAGAGTTCAACAATAAGTGCATCAGTGATACGTTTATAAAATGAATAAAATCAGAGTTATGGATTTGAAACAAAGAAATAGTATGGTGTATAAGTAAGAGTGTGGATATGATAAGGGTTTGTATTATATAAGGAAAGAGTTAGCGTGGGCTAACAAGATTTCATGATGAAAATGTATTGGATACAGTTGTATATTTTGATCATAGTAAGGTGATATCGTGAAAAAAGTGTGGATTCATATAGTTGAGTAAAGTTGGGGATTGATAAGAAGAGTTTAAGAATGAGTATTGGTGAACTACAATACATGTTTGACTCTCAAACAGAGGAATAGTACAGTGTACGAGTAAAAGTATAAGTTTGAAAAGTTGAGTACGATACCGAGGAGGAAAATTTTGACGGAAAAGAAGATATATGATTGGATGATTAGGGCTTGTGCCCTAGATTGAACAGTTAATGTTTATTAACTGTAATAGTAAAAGTGATGGAGTTGTAAGATTTGGAAAAGATATAAGGTTAAGTTAATTAAGTATGATGAATTTGGATTTGGTTGTGTATTCTGATCATATAGATATGATGTAGACAAAGAAATAAGTAGTTGTATAAGATTAAGGAAGCAATGATCAGTACAAGAGATGGTCAAGGAAGAGGATATGTATAAATGAAAGGAATTATCAAAGTTACCAAGATGTGATGAAGATCGGTAATCAGGGATAAGTCTAAGTGATATGAAAAGCGTATGAGAGACTGAAGAAAAGATATGATCTATGTTACAAGGATATTTTGAATTGTGAATGAGTAAAATGATAAAGAAATTAAAGGGTTAAGTATGATAAAGGTTATATGGAAGTGTAGATGACAAGTTCGATATAGAAATATGAAAAGTGTGCAAAGTAATGTGGAAAGATTGTTTGATTCTGTAAAGTATGTGTTTGATCACAATTAAAAAAGATTTAAAGTAGTGTTTTGGTCAAAAGATTTAAAGTAGTGTTTTGGTCAAATTATGATGGAATAAAAGTTTGGTATAGTGATAAGATAATTAGAGATTAATGAAGAAATAGATGGATTTATGATATTGAGTAATGGAAATGGATGTTACTGTTTATGTGATAAGTGACATGATATGAATGTATAAAGGAAAAAGGTAAATGAAAAGCTAAAGGATTGAAAAGTAAGTTTTCTGATGATGACAAGAAAGATTAAGTAAGTGAAGCAACATGAGGACATTAGAAGATATGTTTTTATCAAGATGTTCAGTGAAAATTCAAGGACGGATTTTCTTAAAAGGATGGGAGATTTGTAACATCCTAAAACATGGCTAGTGACTAAAACGTGAATTTTGAAAGTTTTGTATTTAATTTCAAAATAAGTTAAAAGTTCAGGGATTTTATTGGAAACATTTTGTGATGGATGGTTTAGTAAAGAATAAAATGATCATTTGACAAGAAAGATTTTTATCTTTCTTTTTGTAGGCTATATAAATGTAGGACATGAGGGAAAGTTTCCAGAGAACTCTCCATTCTTCTTCTTCTTTCTCTTCATTGTGAGAACCAAAGTAAAGGTAAGTTGATTTCATCTTGTTAATTCCTTGAATTTATAGGTTGGGTTAGAATAATTGGTTGTTATATAAGCTTAAGGAAAGTTTATATAAACTTAAAACAATAAGATGAGTGAATTATGATGGTATTTGTAAAATGAGTTTTAATGATGAATTTTGATTGTTTGGATTTTAGGGTTTTGATGAGATTTTTGACTTGACATAAGAAGAATTAAGAAGTCTAAAGCATTAGAGATCATGTTGATAATTTGGTACGATTCTTAGCTTTAAGAATTTGGATGAAATATGGGAGATTATAAGGTGTTGGAATGCTAGAAATTAGTTATAATAGTTATAGATGAGTTTGATAACATAATAAAGGGTTTATACATGAAAATTTGGGTAAGTATTGAGGAATTTCGGGTGAAAATAGCCTATTCTGGGCAGGTGCATCGGTACACTATGAAAATGCACCGATGCACTAAGACCAATTTTGAAGGTGCATCGATACATTAAGGGGAGTATCGATGCATGGGTATTTTGAACCTAATTTGTGTATCGATGCATCTATAGTTCATTTGTACACCCCTAAAGGAAAAAGTGAATATTGGTCTATTAAATTCGTTCAAGTTATTAGCATCAAATTACAAGGTGTAGATATCTGATAATTACCTTAAAATGTATATTTATGTAGATATCGAGCACGAACAAGTTCCGGAACAATCATCAAGTTAAGATTCGATCGAAAGAAATGAAATCATAAAAGTTGATTGGAACTTAGTGAGGCCAAGGTGAGTGCATATTAGTTAGTTTATGGTGCTAAATGGAAACAAGAATTGCGACAAGTCTATTTCCTATGTTATAATGCATGAATATAGGATTATACGTATATGAATGACATAAATTGTATGTATGCATGATTATATGTTTTAACATGCTTTTGAATGTAATGATATGAGAAGTATGTGCTATGTGATGTATATATATTAACATATCTGAAACTGAACTATGTGACTGCATGAGAAAGATATGAGACATATGACATGATATATGTGAACATGAGAAAACAAAGTATAAGATATGAGCTATGTGATCCTATGAGAATATGAAAAGAAGCTATGTGACTACATGTATATGTGAAAGAAGATATGATATTATATGACATATGATATGAAAGTGTATATGTGAAATGATATAAGTGAAAATGCCCATGTTATATGATACGATAGCTATAGGTATAGTTGGCATTCCAAGAGTCGAGGGTCTACGCGGTACTTCGGGATATTTCATAGTGGTCATTCGGGATAAAATTTCATAGCCCCTAGTGGGACCTCTTACGAGCTGTGGTGACAGCATAGTGCACAACCTCAATAGACTCGCATATCTACAGTTCTCACAGGTGTACATGGGCTAATAAAAGATAACATTGAATACAATGTATGTGATATATATATATATATGTGTGTGTGTGTGTGTGTGTGTGTGTGTGTGTGTGTGTGTGTGTGTGTGTGTGTGTGTGTGTGTGTGTGTGTGTGTGTGTGTGTGTGTGTGTGTGTGTGTGTGTGTGTGTGTGTGTGTGTGTGTGTGTGTGTGTGTGTGTGTGTGTGTGTGTGTTTTGTGATATGAATTATATGATATGATATATGTGTGTTAGTGATTATTGTATATGTTATAAGATATATGATATGAACATAATAGATCATATAAACAAGATAATAGAAATATGAATGGTAATAATATGATAATGATAGGAAAGAAGATAATTATATGCATGTGTGGATTTGATATATGAATGGATATATGTTTGGGTATGATGTGATAGTAGTAATTGTTCATGCATGATTACAAGTTATAGTTTACATTTTATGTTTATTGCCTCACTAAGTCATAGACTTAGCGTGTAAGTGATTTACACGTAGGTTTCAAGAAGAGTTAAGAGCAATGTAGAACAAGACATGCCAGTTCTCCTTATTGAAGGTCAGATAAAAAGAGAGGTGAATAATATGTATTTTAATATATAAAGTTCTAGTTGGCATGTATTCAAAAGAATATATTGTATAAGCTCTGAATAGTTTTGTAAATGTTTTGAATAAGATATATGTTATAAAAGTTTTAAATTACTCACTATTTTATACAAGTAAATGTTTTGAAAAGTCAATGTGACACCTTTGACTCGTATTCGGGTCGAATACGGGTTGAGGGTGTTACACTTGAAATGAAGCTTAAGGGATGAATGTTAAGATTCTTACCTTGGTTGATTCAAACTAAGCTTGAATTTCAAAAAGCTTCTACCTTTTTGCTTGCTCTTGGAAAGGAAGAAGAGAAGAGAAGTTATTTTTGGGGAATGTTCACATAAAGAATAATGTATATAAGGGGTTTATCCTTTAAAACAAGCAATGGGTAAACTACACTTTTGGTCCCTCTCCTTTTAAACCCAATTTAAAGCCATCACTAACATTTAACTCTTGGGTCAAACTTAAGCCCAAAACCCTCATAAACTGGTCCAAACTAGTTTAGAAGATATAATGGGCTTGACTTATGGTCTCGGGTTGGCCCGAACTACTGACCCGGGATTTGGGATGTTACAAACTCCTTACCATTCAAGTTGTTCATCGGTCTCTCATTTCCTCCCCTTCTCACCTTTTTCTTTTACATTTCAATGATGATAATTTATACCTACAATTTCAATACCCTTCCCTTGAATTAAAATTCACGTTATCTACCAACGTCTCCCTCTCTGCAACGCTAATAAAAGGAAGGAAAAAGATAAAGAAAAGGAAAATTGTAGAAGAGAAAAGATGAGTCAGAAGGTAAGTCCTTGCCAACGTGGCCAAATAATGTCAAATAAGTTAGTTTAATGTACCACATAAGCTTTCTGTTTGCTATAAATCGATAAGAGCAATTTGTTACGTCCAAAACTTTAATAGGAAAAGCGAAAACTTACTTAAATATTAGTAATAATTTGTGTAATTTACCATAATTTAATTACAGGCATAGATAAAAGAAAGCGATATCCAAATGATGATATTATATATGAAATATTAAACTTATAGATACGGATGAGTTGGTGGTGGACGAAACCTAGTTAAACTTCACTTGGTTTAAAGCTTAAAACAAATAGGCAACAATGAAAAGAAAATTAGAACCGATGCAACCAAAGGGAGTGATGCCAATTTATTGCTTAACCCTAAATATAACAACCGTCTATTAATTCAACTACATCATAGTATTGACAACGATTTCAAGTAACATGAAACATAACTAAGATGAGAAAATTGCACAGCAACATCCGTAATTCATACATTGTCCAAATTATTAACTATAACTATTTCATTACTTTTGACATGTGATACACATAGCAAATGGTTCAAATTGCATATAGCAAATAGAAATGCCTTGTTATATCCTCAGCCCATAAAGCCTCGAATAAGATTTATACTTCCTCGGTCGAAGGACCCACACTCGGTAATCATGTCATCCCTAGCTCACTCTTCTAGTAGTTGGGCATATACCGCATTGGCCTCCTGAATCGAGGAAACTTCCTGCAATGAGTTCGTTACGTAAAGAAAAAGAAAATAGGATCTAATTTGTGAAATGAAGAGAATCAAAGCACTAGAAGCACACCCATATCCATAAGGAAAATAAAAATAAGGCGGTACATAGGGCCTCCTCGACCGGTAGCCCATGTAAGGATTAAATCGCCTTGGACGGTACTGCTTCATCCCCAGAACATTAGTCCTTTTAGGCAAAACCTGATTATCACATGGAATACCCAAAAATATGTTTTAGAAAGGCTTCAGTAGTAGCTAAAGAAAACACAATACCTTTATTGAAAGGGCCATCAGGCTCCATTTTTAAGAAACAAAAAATCAAGTTGCATACTATTAAAGAAAACATAATACCTTCAACTGTCGGCCATGTAATTCAGATTCGTTCAGCACAAGAGCCTCTTGAACAGCTTCTGCTTCCAGGAACTCTACATAAGCAAATCCTTTTTGTAACACCCCTAACCCGTATCCGACCCGAATATGAGTCCGACGTGTCACATTGACTTTTCAAACTTTGTCACTTAAAGAAAAACAGGGAAATTTTAAACTTTCATTAAAACAAAATATGTTAATTTACATAAAAGAGATCACGAAATACAAAATCGACCAGAGCATTCGTAATTAATAACTTACTACATGTCAACACTCTATACACAACCCAAAATACCTACTTTGCCAATTACTTCTAATCTGATCTTTTAGTAGTGATGATATTCTTGCCACTTCTAGTACTGCTATTCTTGTTTCCTGGTACCTACGTGCAAATCACTTACACGCTAAGTCATAGACTTAGTGATGCAATAAATAAACATGTAGCTATAGATTCATGAATATGCATTCTTACCATTTGATCGTGACATTTCAATATGCATGTATATATTTCACTATAACCGATATAATCATGCCATGTACATATGAAATTTATCTTCTTGTATCACTTTCACCTTAATTTATCTTTCAATTGCCCATGTACATTATTGAGAATAAAGGTATTTGAGTACATTGAGGTTGTGCACTAATGTTGTCACCACAGCTCAATAAATTCACTCATGGGGCACTGAACATTTGATCAGTATTTGTCCCGAATGACCACTATGTCCCGAAAAACCACTGGATACGTCCCGAAAGACCACTGGATACGTCTCGAAGGACTAATATACCCTCGACTCTTGGCATGCCAACTATACCTATAGCTCTAGTATAATATAACATGGGCTTTAATATGAATACATTTCTCATTTCATATCTCTTTCATCACTTTTCATATAAACCCATAATCTTTTCCATTATTTCACATACTTGTATTATATTCTCTGGCAATGATATTCGTTCATTCAATGTCATATGAACATATAATGAATTATGCATGCAATCACTATTACAATATTATATGTATGCATATACATGGGTATGGAATCATTAATTCAACCATCAGAGATAGACTTATCACAAGTCTTGTCTCTATACACTTTAACTATAAAATGCACTCACTTTAGCCTAACTTTGATTCGATTCTAATCTTTCGATTGTTCTGGAATAAGATTACACTCTAAATCTACATAGTAATACATTGATACTTATCAGCATACGAATTGATATATTCCAAACTATTAATCTTTAGGTTAAAAGAAAGCTATTTTCATCTCTTACTGAAGGTATGCATCGATGCACTACACCATGTATCAATGCATCCCTTGATGGGTGCATCGATGCACTACCCATGCATCGGTGCATAAATCTTATTCAATGTTTGTATTTTAAGCAGGTGCATCGATGCACTAATGGCATTCGATGTTCATTTATTTTAAATGAGTGCATCGATGCACATGGATGCACCTTCAACAAATTCTGGGATTTTCTCATGATGCATCGGTACACGTTGAATGTGCACCGATGCACTCTGCCCAGAATTCATTTCTTGAAGCCGAAAACTTATCCATTTCAGCTTAAATCTTTCATGTTTCATCCCCTTTTATATTCTTAACTCCAGTACACATACTTAAATCAATCTATACTCATTTATTTCATCTTAAACCTCAGAATCCTATCCTCCTTGTGAAATCCAAGAATTATACCAACTTTGCAACATGATTTAATTCCACTTCTAACCCTTAATATGTCTTAACTAGATTAATGACAATTAAAATTTAACTTTTAATTCTAGATATGAACTCTATTCCAAGATTTCATTCAAGAACCTCTAATCTTTAATCTCTTCTAACTCCATCATCCTTTGATTTTAAGATAGCCTAAGCTTTCCTTAAGCTTAGTTATCATCTAATAATCTAAATTCAATCTTAAATTTAACAAGAAACTCAATAATCAGAAAATTCACCTTTGTTTTGCTTTACACGTACAAGGAAGGAAGAAGAAGAAAAGAACTCTGGAAGCCTTTGTGATCTCCCCTCTTCAACCCACGTGGATACATATATAACCCTTCTTTTCTTATTTCCTTATAAATGACCTCTTTGCCCTTCTATTACTTCTTCCTTTCAATTCAAATTCATACAATAATTTATAAATAAATCTTTATATTATTCAATCATTCTATTTTAATCACCAAATTATGAGACTTTACAATTTAGACACTAACCCAGTATTGAGGATGTTACAAATATCCCCCTTAAGAAAATTCATCCTCAAATTTTCATTACGCAAAGAGATAGGGGTACTTAATCCTCATGTCCTCTTCACGCTCCCATGTTGCTTCCTCTACTTTGTAATTCCTCCACAAGACTTTAACCAATGGAATAGTCTTGTTTCTTAGTTGTTTAACCTCATGAGCTAGTATTTGAATAGGTTCCTCTTCATAAGTCAAATTTGGTTGAACCTCGATCTCTTCAGTATTCATGATATGGGATGGATCAAATCGATACTTCCGAAGCATTGAGACATGAAAGACATTGTGTATCTTTTCCATTTCAGATGGCAAAGCTAGCTGATATACTACTGATCCTACTCTCTTAATAATCTCATAGGGTCCAATGAACCAAGGACTCAATTTTCCTTTACGTCCAAATCTCAGAACCTTCTTCCAATGAGAAACTTTAAGAAACACTTTGTCTCCAACTTGATATTCTATTTCCTTTCTCTTTAAATCTGCATACGATTTCTGTCTATCAACTGCTGTTTTGATGTTACTCTGAATCACTTGAACTTTTTCTTCCATTTCCTAAATCAACTCAAGACCAATAATTTCTTTATCATTAAGCTCAAACCAATTCAAGGGCGTATAACATCTTCTTCCATAAAGAGCTTTATAAGGAGTCATTTTGATGCTTGACTGATAACTATTGTTATATGCAAATTCAGCAAGCGACAAATATCTTTCCCATGATCCTTTGAATTCGATTACGCAAGCTCTAAGCATATCCTCCAGAATTTGGATAGTTCGCTCGGATTGTCCATCGGTTTGAGGATGAAATGTTGTACTAAAGTTCAATCGAGTTCCCATCGCTCTATGTAATGATTTCCAAAATCGCGATGTGAATCTAGGATCCCGATCAGAAATTATGGAAACAGGTATACCATGTAAACGTATAATTTCTCTAACATATAGTTCGGCATATTTTTCCATGGAGAAATCAGTTCGCACCGGGATAAAATGGGCTAACTTAGTCAATCTATCTACAATCACCCAGATTGAATCTCTTTTGTTCGGAGTTAAAGGTAACCCCGTCACAAAATCCATTATTACATTCTCTCATTTCCACTGAGGAATTGATACTGATTGTAATAGTCCCGACGGAACCTGATGCTCAGCTTTGACTTGTTGACAAGTCATACACTTTGATACAAATTCCGTAATATCTTTCTTCATTCCATGCCACCAATATCGACCCTTGAGATCCATATACATTTTGTTTCTTCCTGGGTGCAGCGTTAATGGACTATAGTGAGCTTCCGTTAATATATCAGTCTTTAATTCATTATCATCTGGAATCACTAGCCTCCCTTGATAATATAGGTTCCCATCCATTTTCATCTCATAATCTGTACACTCTTCATTCCTTATTTGATGTAGCTTCTTTGAACACTTTTCATCTCTAGCCTACAATACTCTAATTCGATCTAGTCATGATGGCTTGAGAGCCAATTTCGCACATATGGCACCGTCTCCTCTTAACGATAGTCTAGCATCCAAAGCTCGTAAGGCTGCAAACGTCTTTCGACTTAAGGTATCCGCTACCACATTCGCTTTCTCTGGATGGAAATCGATCACTACATCATAATCCTTGAGAAATTCTACCCATCTTCTCTGTCTTAAATTCAACTATTTCTGAGTCATCAAGTACTTTAAACTCTTATGATCCGTATACAAGTAGCACTTTTCACCATATAAGTAGTGACGCCAAATCTTAAGAGCAAACACTATTGCCTCCATCTCCAGATCGTGTGTAGGATAATTCTTTTCGTGCGGTTTTAGTTGCCTCGAAGCATAGGCAACTACTTTGCCTTCTTGCATTAACACGCATCTCAAACCGTTATGAGACGCATCACTGTACACTATAAAGTTCTTGTTAGACTCGGGTTGAATCAACACTAAGGCTTCTGTCAAAATCTTCTTTAACCTTTCAAAACTCTCTTGACATTCGTGGGTCCATGAAAATTTTATCTCCTTTCTCAACAGCTTAGTTAGGGGTAATGCTATTATGGAAAAGTTTTTAACGAACCTTCGGTAATAACCAACTAATCCCAGAAAACTTCTAACTTCCGATACATTCTTTGGAACTTCTCACTCCAGAATAGCTTTAATCTTTTGAGGATCCACTCGAACTCCTTCTGCAGAAATTACATGTCCAAGGAATGTCACTTCACTCAACCAGAATTCACATTTAGACAGTTTAGCATAAAGCTTCTCATCTCGTAAAATATGCAAGATAATTTTCAAATGCGAACTATGCTCTTCCTCTGACTTTGAATATATTAAAATATCATCAATGAAAGCCACCACGAACTGATCCAAATAGGGTTGGAATATTATATTCATTAAATCCATGAAAGCAGCTGGTGCATTCGTAACTCCAAACGGCAACACGATAAACTCATAATGACCATACCTCGTTCTAAATGCCGTTTTTAGAACATCTTTCTTTTGAATCTTCAATTGGTGATAACCCGAACGTAAATCAATTTTCGAGAATACTGAAACTCCCTTTAATTGATCAAATAAGTCGTTGATTCGAGGAAGTGGATATTTATTCTTGATAGTCACTTTATTGAGTTACCTGTAGTCAATGCAGAGACGCATTGAACCATCTTTCTTCTTAACAAACAAAACAGGAGCTCTTCATGGTGAGACACTCGGTTTGATAAAACCTTTATCCAACAATTCTTGTAATTGAATCTTTAATTCTTGCAACTCTTTTGGAGCCATTCTGTATGGTGTCATTGCAATAGGTGAAGTTCCAGACATTATTTCAATCTG